ATCATAAGCAAGTGAACTATAATATTCACATCACCTGGTAGGAATGATAACAAGATGAGAAAGGCAGCTTAGAGAAGAGGCTGTTTCTTATCATCATGCTGAATGAGCTGGATGTTTAAAGTAGGAATGGTTTAGTTTGTGCCATAGAAACTGCTCTCACCATGGTCCCTGGGGTGGAGAGAGTTCCAGAGATGCAAGTCCTCACTCCACCCTTTTTAAAGGGAAATTGACCAGCTCTTTGCTAGAATGTGCAACATATAAAGAAAACAAGCAAGAATTAGTACAGATTCCTGCACAGGGTAACAGTAATTCTTGAGGAAGGACAATCTCCAGAATTAGGTTATACTTGGCCATGGTGGGGGAGTCACAAGAGGCTATCAAAGTTATAACTCTATATAAACAACTAATTGTTCCCAAGAGTACACCCCTTCATTCAAGGAGTGATTAAGAAAGGATGGTCTCATTTGAGCCTGCCTCAGATCAAGTTTTCCAACACCTCCTTCTCCTTTGCTAGCTCAGGCCCTAGAGTGGGTTCTGACTTCTCTCCCTCCCTGTGAGTTCACCCTCAGAACACTTGGTGGCCTTTCTCAGAAGCAGAGCTTGGGCCAGGCATGGTGATGCAGGCCCGTAATCCCAGCAGGTCATGAGGCTGAGACAGGAGAGGATTATGAGTTCAAAGCCAGCCTCAGCAAAAGTGAGGTTCTAAGCAACTCAGTGAAACTCTGTCTCTAAATAAAAATACAAAATAGGACTGGGGATGTGGCTCAGTGGTTGAGTGTCACTGAGTTCAATCCCCAGTACCAAAAAGAAAAAAAAAAAGTTTGGACCCTTTCTACCCCCAGTGAAGCTCCAGTGGCATGAAGCCCCACAGCACTCCTGTGTGGAAGGGCAGCCTTTGTCAAGTCCTGAAAAGTTCATCTTACCTCTCTCCCCTGGGACAGTGAGTCCCCATGACTTTAAGAGGGACCAAAGAAGGACCCCTTAAGTGATTTTTTTTCTCAAAACAAAGATTTATTCCAAACCAACTTACTGTCTCTTCCTATATGCAACACTGCTTGGCCACTTATATACGAATAGCTCCTGCTAAAAGAAATATCAAGTTCCACCTAACTAGGTAGCCCATTGCATTAAAAATAATATCTACTTAATGTAGTTTCTTTCCATTGACATTATTTAATAGAATGTCTCTGGGAATGTTTCTGAAAGTCTGGTCTGTTGACTACTTTAGAGTCGCCTGAGACATGTGTTAAAGCAGATCCCTGCTCCCTCCCTGGCCTAATGAATCAAAATTTCTGAGAATGGGTACAAAAATAGGTATTGCATGTGATTCTGATGCACACCAAATCTTATACTGATGAATGAGAGTTTACCTTGTCTGGCATTCATTCAGTTCATGAATATTTATTGAGTTCTTACAATGTGTCAGGCATGGTTCTAGGCTATATAAATAGAGTAGAAAATAAAATATACATTAATCCGATAAAGCATAATTTCTAGAGGCAGGGGACAGATAAATAAATTATTTAGCAAATAAGCACATTTTAGTATTAAGTAGTAAGAATCAAGGAAAAAAATAAAAGGGTAAGGGTTTGGATGGTGGTGGTGCTATTTTTAGCCAAGGTGCTTGGGGAAGGCTTTTCTGGAAAGTCATGTGAGCCAAGACCTGAAGGCGGTGAGGGTGATGCCTGAAGAAAGAGTGTTCTGGGCAAAAGAATAACAGGTAGAAAGGTCTCAAGAAAAAAGGATGCTGAGCATATTTGAAGGAAAGCAAGGAGAAAAATACAGCCAGAGTAGAGGGAGTAAGGGGGAACAGGGTGGAAGGATCATGAAGGAAATGATTTTGAGGACTCTTACTTTTACTCTAAATGTAATGGGAAGCCACTAGAGGCTCTGGACAGGACAGTGATATGCTCTGCCTCCATGTTTGAATGGTGCTCCTAGCTGCTCCTCCTCTATATCTCCTCTCTAGGTAGTCTCATTCAATTCTAAGGTTTCTAGGTGGAGAGTTGATTGAGGCAAGCAAGAGTAACTTCAAGTCAAAGTTATACATCTGTCATTCCATGGACTTATCCATGTGTCAGGCATTTAAAACACCATCTCATTTAATTATATGAGATAGGCACAGAATAATCACCCCTATTTTATTCCTGGGGAAATTGAAGTTCAGAGAAATTATGTAACTTAGAAAGTGATGAAAATGGATTTTTGATTATAAGCAGTATACCCAACCTCCTCCCCTGATAAAACCACGAAACTTCATTGTACCTCCAGGGGTAAAAGTAACCATGAGAAAAGATTTAATAAGGAAAAGAAAGGGGACCTGTGGGGGAAAGGTTGAAACAAACACATGTTTATCAGAACCTTCAAGTTTCAGCTTTATTATATTCATTCTTTTAGTCAACCTCTTCTTCTGCGGACTCGATTGTGAGTCATGTAAACCCAAAGTCACAGCCTTTAAAAACCACCTGTTCGCACGGAGTTTAATCTACACCTACAATTTCAGGCTGCTTTCTTTCTCTCCCTTAGCTGCATCTCTGCACAGCTGCATCCTGCTCTATTAAGCACAACTCAAAGACACTGCCAAAGTCTTGTTTTACGTTTTCAAACTTTTTTTTCTTTTTTAGGGAATTATCTGCATACAGAGCACATAAAGATGGAAATTAATTTTTCTATCAGCTAGAATTACCTCTCTTAGTTATTAGAAAGTTGAATAGAGCCCTGATTGGAAGTAGCCCACCTATTCTCAAACAATGCCATCTCAACATATCAAATATTGGCCCTGTAGACCAGCAAGATATCTTTTAATATAGTATTTTGTAGGGAGCCTTAGTTAACCAAAGGGCAGGGAGAATCACACTGGAGGCCAGCCTGGACAACTTAGTGAGACTCTGTTTCAAAATAAAAAAAAAATAAAATAAAAGAGGATGTAGTTCAGTGGGAGAGCAGTATTTGTTTTTTAAAAAAATATTGAATTAAAACCCCAGTATTAAAAAAAAAAAAAAAGGAATGGAGTAGGAGTTAATTACCACTATAGTTTTTTTAATATTTATTTTTTTAGTTTTAGATGGACACAATATCTTTATTTTATTTTTATGTGGTGCTGAGAAGATAACCCAGTGCCTCACACATGCTAGGCGAGCGCACTACCACTTGAGCCACATCCCCAGCCTACTACTATAGTTTTTAAAGTTTTAACTATTAATTGATAAGTTCTTATGTATCTGAATACAATCAGAAAGTATTCTCATTACTAATTCAGTTAAATTGTCACTCACTTTATCACCCCCTGAAGTCCACTCCTGCAAATTCTGTACAAAATAAACTGAAGATATTTATGTTTAATTTAGTTGTCGATAAGAATTTATATTTGCCTAACAGCTGGGCTGAGAGCTGAACTTTTTTTTTTTTTTTAAAGCTTTAAAAAAAAAAAAAAAGGTGAGAAAGGAGGGGGTGGAAACTAAAACTAACTTTGAGCCAGCTGTGTTTCTTCTTTAAGAGGGACCACTGAGGAGGTGATGGTTTGTTTAATTGCAGAAATGTAAACAGAAGGAAGCTTGTCACAATTAAGTTAGAATTTAAGCACTAATTAAGTCTGCTGCAGTATAATGGAGATTTAGATTTAGTAAATATTGGTCCCAAATGGCCCTCCTTTCTTTATCCATCTCAAATTAATCTTAATGTAAACCAAAGTGCATGTGTTCTTTCCACAGTAAAATCTGCTCATATCTGTATTCCAAGAGAAAGGAGATTGGAAACCTCAAGGATTACATTTCCCAGGAATGTATATGAAGGACCACAGCCGTGGAGCAGTGCTATCTGTATTTCTGCAGTACTGCTTGGGTCTGTCAGTTCACAAAGAGCAGGAGCAGATCGCTAAGGAATCCTGGGTAAGAGTAAACACACACACACACACACACACACACACACACACACACACTCTTACATATATTGACCCAAAGTATTATAGACTCCAAGGTTTTAAGATCTACTTTTTAAGGTCGATTGCATAACCAAAAGAGTGTGTTCAAAATACTTGAAAAAAAATTATAATTAATCTACCAGTGACTACAGCTCCCATTTCAGTCCACCTCTGTGATAGTTAACTGAAAATCCAGATTGCCTTTGAGAGCATGGAGAAATAAACAGTTCCTGATACTTCACAGAAGAGGAATTTATTTAATGCTGCTAAGGGAGTTAGTAATTTCCCAGATTACTTTTAGACCATTTTCGTCATTTGAAAAATAATAAAAAAAAATGTGAAAGAAGTTTTTGTGTAAACCTGATATACCTATATTATCTCTTAAAGATTTACTATTATTTTTAAACAGTTGGTAAAAATAAAAAAAAATCAACTGAAATAGGTACATGATTTTCCCAAGATGAGAATTTTGCCAGACTAGATTGGTGGATTGGCCAAGAAATATTTTGGTAATGGTATGGCAGCTTAAATTTTATATTAGAACCACAGTCTACAAAGGACTATCCCCCTCCCAGGCAGGGCTATCCCTGGAAAAACATTGGCATTTCTCTGAATAGTTTGATAACAAATAGAAACCAAGAAAGTAAAATAGCTGGGCTCCCCTTTTTATACGGAGGAAGACTGAGGCTTCTGAGTGGATGACAGTTTAGATGAGATCCAGTTTGCATTTGGAGGAGGAACCAGAAGGAATCAGCAGTAGATGGGATGTGGAAGGTGAGAAAAGGAACCAGGGATGACTCCTAAGTTTTGGGTTTAAGTAGTTGAGTGAATGGTGGTATCTCTTCCTGAGGTGGTGATTACTGGGAGAGCAGGACAAAGTGTGTCATGTGGATGATGTACGAGGTGCCTGTTAACCCTCTAACTGGGGACATCAACTAAGTAGTTGAGTATGTACGTCTGGAAGCTCAAGGGAGCTAAGGGTTACTAATAGATCAATGGAGAGGATTCAGAGGGAGAGGAGCTCTGTGTAGGGAGTAGTTCTAGTAGGAAAATCAGAATAGGAAAACTCATAATTTGGAGCTCCTTTACCTTTATCTTTATTACTTTGTTTGGAGTTACAAATTCCTAGAATAGCAAACATACCCATATTCAAACATAGGAACAAAAACATATTCTAGGATCAAATGTTGGTGAATTTTGGATTAATTGCTTTAAAATCATTTTAAAGCATTATCAATAAAGAGTTGACTATATTAATGTTTTTATCTCTAGTAAGAACTAGTTCAATGAATTTGACCAGCATTTAGTAAGTGACTTTGAAATCAGACATCCTGGGCTTATATACTAGTTACACCAATTGACTAGTTGTGTGATCTTAGCCAAATGAATTATGGTCTGAGTTGTGGGTCCTTGAGGTAGAAAATAGTATGGGAAGGAGTGAGACTATTTAAGGCAGAATGCCTAAAATGATTCCCAGTCACAATAAGAGCTTAATAAAAGGAAGTTATTATTAATTAAGTAAAGCAAGAGCCCAGGGATTTTCAGATCTGGTGAGAGGTGTCTACAACCAGGAAAAGCCAGCAAAAAGTTTCCAAAGTGAGAAGATTGAAAGGAGCAAAGAATCTCCTCAAAACACTGCTGTTCCTTGCCGTCTGTCAAAGTCAGAGGCATGGCTCAGCCCAATGGCAACCCAGCTCAAGCCCATGGAGAACTGCTTCTATGCTCAGAAGAGATACTAACTCCTCAGAACCCAGAGCCAAGAGCAGCTGGCTGGGCAGATCTTGGTCCTTTTTTGCCCTTGGGTGCATCTCTGCCTTCCCTACTGCCCTCCCCTTACCCTCCAGAATATCCTTCCAGCCAGAACCTTACTCTACTCCTCCCAGGGTCACACTTGGTTTCCTGACATGCTGGTATGTCCCTAATTAAGCAGTTTCAGTTCCCTTTCTGGCCAGGGGTTTCCAATAACAAAGTCTATGGTATCCAAAGGACACTGTTTTGTTTTCACATAGTACTTATTTACTGCTGGGTTGGGGTTCCGCCAGATGAACTGTTGTACAACCAGCTAGGTTGAGGACACCAAGCTCAGAAAAGGTCTTTTAGGGGCTTGGGCTAAAGTCTCTGGTTTCATGGCCTACTTGGGTCTGAGGCATTGCCTGTATTTTTGCAGGCATGGATTTTACCCCCTGTGATAGCCTGGGGCAGTTGTTCCTGCTGGACATGGTTCCTCGGCTCATTGGTCTAATTTACAACAGATCCTAAAATGTCTCTTTCTTTTATTCATCATGGCACACCAGCTTGAGTAGCTAAAGAATCAAATCTGAGCAGGAGATGAGATGCATTTCCTGCCTTAGACTTGCGCCTGTTGGCAGCCAGGCTGCTCTAGAGGCCAAGGGCAGAACTTAGTACATTGTTCAGCATGTAGCTCAGTAATCACTCAATTTTTAGGATGTTGGGTCCCAAGGCAATGAGTGAGCCATGTCTTTAGGAATGCACAGAATTAAAGAATAACAGCAACAAAAAGCTATAAGTGTTATTTGCTGGCAAACAGTATCTCATAAATTTATTTAAAACAGCAAATATCCTCTATAATACAAGTTTCTAAAGCAATCTTTTAAAATGATTACTCTTGAACTGATTAATACTGCCCTTCAATCTATTGATAGTCCTTAGCCTTGACAAATTGCTTTTACTTCTTATCCTGACCTAATTACTTTCTACCCAGCACTTGAAAGTCTTCATTTATCTCTGTTTCCAAGGAAATCAGGTCAAATCTTGCTTCTTATCATCAGACAAGAGCCATCAAAGATCTCCTTAGGTGGTCAGAGCTCTGGGGTGCAGAAGTGGGCTTATTTCAACGGCTGGCTTTAGCTCTGGGGCCTTTCACTAGGACTAGTGCTTCCACAGGTTCTGTACCAGATTTAAAATTTATAATTTTGCATTCTTTTTCTTTAAAAGGAGCAGACATGATATAGGCTTGAGGCCACACCAAAGTTGGATCTACCTCTAGGAAGGGTTAACTCACGTGCCAGCCAGAGGATCCTGTCCGCCCTGGGCACCTCTGGGTGGCCCACATTGATTGGGCAGGGACTGAGATGTTGGGTGTAGTCTCTATGTCAACAGGACCCAGGGCATACTAACCAAGAGCCAGATTCTGTGAAAGACTCAGGATCCTAAGACTCAAAGTCCCAGGGACTTTACAGAAGACTTTACATTAATTCTTTACAGAAGCAATGTATACAAAGTGAGGTGATTTCTGGTAGAATCTTGGCAAAACAAATTCACATAAAACATAAGCTGTGAGGTGGTGCTGAGCATCCATCTGATCACTTCCAGGAGCCTCCCAAGAGCTCCCGTCTCTCTGAATTTGCCCACACATGACTGGATCCTCCTCACCTGGAGGCCTTATGCTGAGGGTTCCCAGTTCTTTCCACATCCCATTTGGTGTTCTTGTTGCTTTACTTTTTGTGGTTTCTATTTAATCCAAGTTGTTTCCCCAGGACTCTGGCCAAGTTCCTAGATCCATTTTACCTGCATGGAGGGCGGGGAATGTAAATAGTAATATAGATTTTGAACAACATTGTAAATGCTTTACAGACTGTGTGTTACGGGGAGTAGTGAGCTGTAAAATTGGAATTAAACCAATGTGTTTACAGAATTGTGCCAATTGTAAAACTTCTCTGCTTTCTAAATACAGGCTTTGTGGTGGAGGGTTTGGGGGTATTCAGAGGGTGACTCAAAGCTGGGGATATAGAGAACATCTCTGGCAGGCTCCTGTGAGTGTCTGAGACAACATCTTGGTCCCATTTTCTCCACACACTTTGGAGTGACTCTTCTTGTGGAGCATGCAGCTTCTTCCCTGAGTCTGTAATGACTTGTTGAATACCCTTCCCATGTGACTTCCCACATGAGCACGCCACTGCCCTCCCTGTGAGGTGAAAATGATGCTGCCAACATCCTCCCCAGAGAGCATGCCTCATGAGTGACAGAAATAGATCCCCACCAGCAGCCATGTTCTCCGCCCCTCATGCCTCAGTCTCACAGGAAAGGCTTCTCTTCACTGACAAGCCCACAGGAAATATCCTCCTGAGTTATTATTACCACGGCAGGAGAAAACAGCTTTCTTCCTCCTCCTCCTCCCTCCCTCCCTCCCTTCCTTGCTTCTTCTGGCTCTCCTTTCAGAGTGGTCTACCCACATTTCCTTCTGTCTTACTTTGTTCATTCAATCATTGCCTGGCTCTACCAGCAATGTATAAACTGAAAGAGGATACTGACAGCTATCCTAGGTCCACAGGATTACTCCAATACACTTGTGAGTGTGTACACACACATGCATACACACCCATGGGGTAATAGGAGAGGGAGAGGGAGGCAGCTTGGCCTCATGAAAAAGAAGTCATTGCTAGTTTTGAATCCTGGCCTAGCCATCTACCAGGTGGGGAGACCTTGGGCAAGTCACTTAACCTCTGAGTTGCTATTTCCTTCCTTTGGTGTATAATAGGGATAAGAACCTTTCAAGGGCAGTATAAGGATTCAGATCTATGTTGTAGGTGTCCAATGAGTGGTAGATATAGATTTTTTGTAGGATTTGGGCAACTATTTATAATAGCTGTCTATACACTAAAGCCTATAAGAACTTAAATGAAGAAAATACCTCCAAATTATTTATATCACCTGGGTTTCTGATGGACACAGACAGGTAGGAAATTGTGAAAGAGTGCTTCTGAAATTTTTGAAAGGTAAGAGAGGCTCAATTCAGAGACCATTTTGAATGAGCCTTGGCTCATGATTCTCTGAAGACCAACCTACTGAAGTTCATTCATTGCAAGACAAATCAATAAACTAGGATTGTAAAAGGAATGGTTGGGATTGCTGAGTGCTGTTTGTCTGTGGGCTACTGGGTGTTGAGTAAACAGGAGCAGGGTTCTGGGATATTTTGTCAGTGAAATATGAACAATATTACTTAAAAATCCCATGCTGCACTGAAGAGTCTCTCCCAAAGCTAAACTACCTAATGATCTGGAGCCATGTCTTAAGAAAGGTTGAAGCAGGAAACTTCCAGTATCTTTTTTAGTACTTGATATAGTATGCATTTGCTTTGTCCCCAAAAGTTCATGTATTGTGAGCTTGGTCCCTAGTATAGCAGTGCAGGAGCCGACAGAACCTTTAACACATGTAACATTTAAGAGCTTACTAGGAGGTCATTATGTCAGTGGGGATCCTGCTGTGGAAAGAGATAAAGGTAGTTCTTGTGTGACCCCTTGGTACTTCTCACAAGATGATTGTTATAAAAGCCTGAGCTTCACCCCACCCAGCTCTCTGGCTTCCCATATCAACACGTGATTTCTTGCTCCTGAAAGTGCTCCTATTATTACCATTGGCTATGATGTAACACCACTGAAAGGACTCTCACCAGAACTGAATGCAGTTTCTATGCCCTTGACCCTCCAAAAGTGTGAGCTAAATGAACTTTTCTTTATAAGGTTGGCTGCCTTGAGTATTTTGTTATGGCAACCAATAGTTGACTAATACATATCTCTGACACTTTGATGCCACCCCCAGACTCTAGGTTGCACCTTCACACTCTTTGCATCTTTTCCCAGTTTCATCTGTCATCAAAGTGTTCATTTCTACATTCCACTTGTTCTCCACTGAATGTAGGTAACACCAAGAAGCAACTTGATAAACAAATCCTCATAAAAGTGGCCATTTAATAGCGCTTAAAAATACTTTGCAGAATATATTATTTCAAATCCATACAATAATTCCAATAGTAGCTTTTTTCCTTATACTGCTATGCAGAAATAGAGAAATTTGAGGATCAAACAGGCAATTAATTTGTGGGTTCATATTTAGTACAGGATGGAACTAGAATCTAAACTCAGATTTATCTGCAAATACATATATGTACTTGCATACATATTTGTGTGTGTGTATGTGTGCACATTTAGAACTATACATTGTCTAAAATCAAGGCTGCATTGGAGGAGGAATACCTGAGTGACAATTGGCACAATTACTAAAGGAAAGGGGAAACTGATATTGGAGAGGTAAACCTCAAGGTCACTGTGGACTGGCCTTCACTTCTTGTGTCCTGCAGTACCATTATATCCCTTCTGAGTAAATTTCCCCCTACTCTGTGCTGAAGCCAAAGGGTGATTAGTTCTCTATCTAAAAGAGGTGGACATGGTGGTAACCAGATGGGGGTGATCCTGGGGGCAATAACAGGGATAGAATCTGTTCCAGAAAAGATGTTGGTGATATGGGAAAGAGGTGAGACACTTGGTCCTCAAGAGCATGGCAGAGGAGAGAATAAGACACATGATAGTGAGGATGGTGCCCAGAGGTCTCTTGGGCAATGTGTGCTGCATCCCAGGGACCTACTCAGTCTGGTTTCCAGCAGCATTTGGGACTGCTGGAAGGAGCTCCTGTTACTGGTGCACATACCATTTGGTTTACTCTTCCAAATGAGAGATGCCTGGAGAGTCTGGGGTATAGTATGATGTAGATTGATAGCCAAGAGGGTGCATGCTTGGGTCAGATCTTGAATCTGCTACTTGTGAGGAATATGAGTTTGAGTAAGTTGTTAAATTCTCTGTCAAATGTGAATAATTTCTTCATCTGTCAAATTTAAATAATAAATTGTCCCCTACAAATTGGGGTATGTGAGGAATAAATGGATTAATGTATGAAAACACTTAATGTAGACCTTACCCATAATAGATACCCAATAACCGTAAGCTTTTTGTATAATTTTGGTTTCTTTATATAGAACAGTGGTTTTTAACTGAGGGTGGGTGTATCTGGCATCCTGTGGATAGAGGCCAGGGATGTTGCTAAACATGCTCCACTCACCCCACAGAAGATTTATCTGGTTTGTGCTGAGGTTCATAAACCAAACTATGTGGATCTTCCACTGTTTACCAAGAAGTTGGTGAGCTATTTGGTCCAAAGTGAGAGTGGGGAGAGATTCAAGAGCTTAACAAACCAGCTCCTCAGAATAGGTAAGTGGGTCTGTACCCCACAGATTTTGACCCAAATTTCACTTTGGGTTTTCCAGATAGGCTGTTCTATTCTAGGTGTTACAGACAAGGTGACAACTTTGACTGATGTGATTTCTTTTCTTTCTTTGCAGAGAAGATCACCAACATTCTGAAAAAACTGAATAGCAACAAGGAAATGAAATAGGCCATGGTAGTGCCTGAGGTTTGGCAGAACTCCTTGCATTGGTAGATGTCGCCACCACGAATGGTTTGACTCATTATACTTACAGAAGACTTTATAAAACTTTATTTGCATGACTTTGTTAGAGATGCCTCCTCTACTCGGAATTATTCTCTGTTCCTCTATTACGACTACCACTACCACCCTTTTCATACACCTCAACTCCAGAGTATTAAAATTGGGAATTTTATTCATCTTTCAATGTCTGCTTCACACTTTATTTCCTGCAACTTCACTGCTGCGGTTGGAAATTGTCTCTCCTTCTTCTGAACTCCGTGGTCATGGTTCAATCACACCCTACCCTAAATTAAAGTTATTCAGGAATATATCTCCCCCACACACACACACACCTGCCTGAGAGCTTTTCAGGACAAAGGCCTTCTGTTTTTCTTCCTTATATCTCCCAGAGCTACCAAAACTGAGGACCAGTAAGTGCTTGAACAAATGAATGAATGAATCGGTAGCCCTATGGAGCTCCCATAGAAACATTCCTCCATTGCAAACCAGGGAGTCAAGTGCAAGTCAGAGCAACCTGTGTCCAGACCCAGACCTCTCTCAGGCATTTTCATGGTACCACATTTCTCTAATGAAGCCATTTTTTCCCTTTTTTTTTTTTTCAGATTCTTTGGGAAAACATCCCAGGCATGTATGATAAAGGTCACTACATTGAGCAGAGGAGTGTCCAGCTGAATTTATGTTTTTACCCTCAAGCACCATGAAGCCAGAGTACAAATAGGGTGGGGCCCTGAAAGAAGAGGAGATTGTGGTGTGAATGCCAGCAATGCACAGCATCGGCCCCCTGCCCTTGATGAGCCAAAGGGCACTGCCCACTCTCTATAGGTCTATTGTTAAGGGCCAGAGGGTGTCATGTGAGTGTCAAAGGAAAGTTCACATTTCCATGGAAGGCTCAGGGCCAAGAGAAAGGTCAGGAGTGTCTGTGGGGTTTTTGTCTAACAGCTCTTTGTTAAAACGCACATGTGGCCATATTTTGATCTAATAGATATCTGCATATGTTTCTGGGTGGATGAGAATGCTGCACAGCTGGACCCTGAGTCATGATTCCGGCCTTCCACGAGCTCTACAGAGGAGCTGCCTTAGACAGGGTTACATTCTGCTCTCACTTTCCAATTTGACAAAGAAAACTGCATATTCATCTCATCAAGTCAGGGGAGAGTTAAGGGTGTTGCCACCAAATTCTTCTCCCTTCCCACCTGTTTAAGTCATGAAGGAAAAGTTCTGACTATGTTTCTCTGTGATGCCAATTTATGACTTAGGTCAATGCCCACTTACATAGTAGGTGCTATTTT